GTTGCGCAAGCGTTTGTGCAACTCTACAGATCGATTAAAGTGCAACAACATAAAATTTGCATGTATGCAGGGACATTCACTCCCGTGTGCATGCTTGTTTCCTATGGGCTGGCGCGTGGACAAGATGGTTTGCGTCAATCCGGTGCAGGAAAAGCTGAATTCACAGTTTTCGGGGTATGTTCAGAAAACCTTCTAATCCCAGTAAACCCTATTCTCACCAACTTGGAGAGCATTTAAGAGAACCGAGATGCATTAAAGAGAACTAAGAAACTAGACTTTGCACCCACCTTTTCGACTCAGCGATTCTCCCCGTCTTGAAGTATGCATCAGAAGCCTGGTTGCTATGTAGACAGAATGAAAGATCACGTTGCCTTACTGAACGCGCAATCGAAACGTTGATACTGAGAGTATTCCGTATCTCTCGGGTGAGGAAAAAAGTCTAAGTTATAGCTTACGTCAATGACCAAAAATCAAGGAAGCCGTTCCACATGCCAGGCTATCAAATATAAGATGGGCTGGGTTTAATGACAACCGAGGGACGAGAACCGTTACCGACTGGATTTATTGGGATGTTAAATGAACCAGAGAAAGACCACTGATCCGATGATGCAATTTCTTCGCGAAATGCCTAGAAGAGAGATATGATGCCCATCGGACTACTAGAGCCAGGAGGACCCCAGGTTATGGGAAAAATGAAAAGCTCCAGTGGTGCACTCTCGAGTCGCCCGGCGATCATCGGGACGACAAGCGACACAAGTGATTCATAAGCTGAGGACGAGTCACGCGTCAAGTTCACTGACCAATCATAAATCCGTGGATCAGTAGTCTGCTGGCTTATCATTGATTAAGCTCCTTTGCTTTGTGATATGTTAAGTAAATAAAGTTTCCATCGGTAACAGACACAGAAATCGTGACTTGGAGGCATTTATGTTTAACGAAACTTGACTGCTCGGAAGAGAAAAATGAAGTACAAACATTTCTTTCCTGGAAATTACCTTTTTGTCTCTGCTCAGCAAAAGATCGTTCATGAAAACCAGCACTTCAAAACATTGTGGCTTTTCGGTCGTTTTCGAATAACTTCAAGTTGAAGTTAAAATTTTGCGTCTTAATGGCCTAGAAAACCCTAAAGAACAAAAGAAAATTTCATTCTGAGTAATGGTCAAGATAAGCAAAAACTAGTTGCTATGCATTATGTTTTACATGAAGCTTATTTGGTCATTGCTGTATAAAGAAAGAGAAAGATGTGAATGTTTGGTAGCTCCACGGTGTATAAGCTTTGTTTTAGGTGTTATTCGTATTATCATCAGGTAGCCGAAACAGTTTCTCAGTTTCTGGTTTGATTCTCTGTCTCAACGAGCCGGTAATCGCAAATCCAGGCCACACTTTCGCCATCATCGTCATGCGAGCATCCGTTTTCATCTTATTCATAATACTTGGTTAGTTTGTTATTTGAGACTCAAAAATGTTACTATATTTGTTACCAATCGACGCAGCAATGTTGTGAAACTTTTTTACAATATAAATCCATGTACCTGATCTATGATGACATTTATGATGAAAATATATGTGCTTAAACTGTATATGTTTTGAACATAATCAATTTGCTAAATTTCTGCACATTTTCTGAGAATTCTAACTGACTGAAAAATTAGTTGTTCTGGCTTTTGGCACATCTAATAGGTTTGATCAGATACTTTACGATTTAATTCACTTTAGCTATGGAAGGAAAAGATGTTAAATGAATTCAGTCGTGTGAAAAGTCTTGTTCTTACTCCTCCCCGAGATTTGCATGAGACAAAGTTGAAAGTGCTCAAAAGTTCGACTATTTCTAAAACTCGGCATGACTGAAGAAAAGTAAAAATTTCTTACAAGCTGTTCTTTCCTCTGTTCAAAACTTGCATGAGGTTGGCACTTTTTTTTCTCAAAATTTGATGGCTAACATTTCGACGGCAATGCCATCGTCAGAGCCTAGACGTATGGATCATACCATATGTGATTATTCGGTCAATATTTTGCATGCATCGAAAATTCAATAGAAAAGAAACCAACAGTCTGGTCATTCCGAAATAAGGTGGAAATGAGGCGTTAGCCATCAAATTTTGAGAAAAAAAAATTAACAACCTCGTGCAGGTTTTAAATAGAGAGTAGGAAAGTCAAAAGAGCTTTGAATTTGAAAACTCCAATTTTGATATATCACATATGATTCATAGTATTTGGTAAATCTGAGGAAGAAGTTCCGCGAGCATCAGAAATTCGAAATATTGGCTCAGCTGAAGTTCGAAGGTATCAAGATTATTTCTACTTAGAATAAAAAAGTCTAAATTCTGCTTTCATCTTGAATTTATGCGTCGACAAGCATTTTCTGCACAACTAAACAATTTCTCAAGTACAATTCCAAACAAGCCTCTTTGTCCTTGCAATGAAAGCTCTTCGGATCTTTCTTGTTTCGTTTGAGATGACCCAACTTCACATATTGTGCGGATCCAACCAATTCTGTCATTCTATTCGATATGTGAACCACGAATATCTTCGGATTCGTATGGGGTGCGTTCGGCTGTGCATGAACACTTTACTCTCACTGAATGCTGGTCCAATAGATTTCCTCTTTTTTTCGAATGTACACGTTTCTGATTTTTTACTACAGGCACTGGGCAGCTTCTGTGAATGGCACATAGTTATTTCTATGACATCCGCATATCAATCTGCAGACCCCGGTAATTTGCTTAGGAAGATTGACCTAATAAAGACGAACGAATGTGTGAGAGTGGCGTCTCTAAACATTTCGTCGTATTCGAAAACGGTTATTTTGATATGATAGGAGACGACATGTCTTAGTTTGGTATTTATAGCTTTCATGAACTACGAGGTGAAATAATGTATGGCGGTAAGCTCATCTTTCATAATGTTATTTGACGTATAACTGACGGTACAAAACATGTTCACTATATGCAGCACTGAGCTTCGGAAACAGTCTTCACTAACCTTTTCGGGAAGGTGGATCAACGGCCTTGCATCTCTAATCGGCAACTCTGAACGGTCCACCCCACCTTCTCTGCATCTCTAGCACCAGCGTGCTGCGTCTAACAATGGCACGCTGTGAGATGGCGATGCAAAGGATGTGGAGCAGACCGTCCAGAGTTGATTGTTAGAGATGCAGAGGCTGTGGGTCCACGGTTGCGAAAGAGTTAAGCGGAGTTGCATAAGCCTCAATGATTTTTATGCTCTCCTTCACCTCAGTGATGCAACGTGAGCGGCAACTTAAGCGATACTGTGTGTCACATTATGCCGCTTAGATTGCACATTTACTTCGTGTAGTCGGTGCCAAAACGCTTTGTAGAGGTATACATGTCTCACCCTAGAAGCAAAATTGCTCATTTTGCTTCATATCCGCTAAAATTGTTCTCAGCTGTGCTATCGTATTGAACCGCACTTTTGGCTCAGCGTCTTCACGGTCTGATATAAAAAAGCGCATTTTTAGAGCAGATTAGTCTTTGACACTATTCGAATCGCTAATTTTTCCATGGAACTTTCGAATGAATAGTTTTATGAAATTGTGACATTCTAAGTGAGATGTACTTGTGTGGCTTATGAAAAACCTCTATAAATTGACTAACTCTAGTATTCAAGCCAAATGTTTTGTCGGTGATGTTTGGGATTCAACAGCGGCATCATTTTTTTCAAGTCCCCAACACCCCGATTTCACGGCATAAAATACTGCATCTTTACAGATGTGAGATTGACCATGGGGTCTAGTTCAGGGGTAGAGCGATCGCTTTGCATGTGAGAAATCTGGGGTTCGATTCCCTAAACCTTCCATTTTAATTCGGCCAATGCGTCACTATTTTAGTTGAGCCGATGCACCATTATTTTAGTTTCAGTGTAGTTGAGTCGTTGCTTGAATACTTTGCAACAGAAAACTGCTCTTTAACTCGTCTTGATTTGTCCTGCCACGCGGATCTTTGGAAAGGATTTATCCTTATAACTAACAACCTAAATATATCAAAGCATATACACGTGTATGTACAACAATCACCATAAGCATTGAGATGGGAACTTGATTACACGAGAGAACGATAAGTTGATGCCGAGAACAAGTGAGTGACGACGTCGAAAAATGAGTGATTGATTCGAGATACATGATAGGAAGGAGTAATTGATAGCTAGTGTCCTGACACCTAATTAATATTATCGACAGATGAGTGGAAGGAGATAAAGAGAACGAGCAAGCAATGAGATCGTAAAGAGGAATCAAGTGCCATCGTGGGCGTGATTCTCCACCATCGCCATTTTCCTTGACCGCTGAGCAACCATGTCGTCGACAGGTGTCCGCCATCGGCAATGTCCAGGATATATCGCTGATCTCAGGCCGATAAACACGCTGATTACGTCGCCATTCTGATTAGTTGAGGCAGTGTCCACAGGATACAATGCTTACTTATTCGACAAATTCATCTTATATTTCATCCTTTACATAGTGTTGTATTATCTACAGTATGTATATGTACGACGCAAGAGGAAATAGTAGTTGTTTTGGCGGAACAACTGCTATACCTTGAGACATTTTGACATTTGTGTTCACGGCCTACAACGTATTGAAAATTTGTCAACTCTGTCACACATTCCGATTTCATGGCGTAAATGGAATTATGATCGACAAGAGATGCTCACGTGGGGGTATAGCTCAGGGTAGAGCGCTCGTTTTGCATGCGAGAAGTCTGGGGTTCGATTCCCCATACCTCCAGACATTTTGACATTTGTGTTCACGGTCTACAACGTACTGACAATTTCTCAACACCGTCACACATCCCGATTTCATGGCGTAAATGGAATTATCATCGACAAGAGATGCTCACGTGGGGGTATAGCTCAGGGGTAGAGCGCTCGCTTTGCATGCGAGAAGTCTGGGTTTCGATTCTCTATACCTCCAGACATTTTGACATCTATGTTCACGGTCTACAACGTACTGACTATTATGTCAACTCTTCATAAGTTCGACTTTCTATTAACCTCGGCATAATTAGTTATTATTATGAAAATCGAGAAAACTTATCTTGGTTAGCTGACGCGACGTTGGTAAATTAGTAGTATAAATTTGGTTGACGTTTCGGCGACCCGCCTTCTTCAGAGCCTGGGCGTACGTAGTTTTATTCTATTTGAATGATTCGAATGGTCCTATTTATATGCTGCCTAAGTCAAGTTAGAAGATCAAACGAAAAAGGGCGCGAGATCTTGTGTAACGGTGATGCACTCGTCCTTCCGGTTCATTTCGGGATTTTGGCGTTTATCCAAAACGCCTCAAGAGTCTTGCGCGTAGATGTTCTTGATTCCTGCGCTAAGAATGTGACAGTTACATCAAAATCGTTGTAGTGTGTTTTTGTGCCCATGTAAACCTAAAGGTTTCGTTTTATCTATTTTAGATTTACTACCTAGATGTCCTTTTATGCGGATGAAAAGTGGTCCACCCGTTCAGCCTATATATTCTTCCCCGCATGTTTTACATGTTAGTAGATAAATTGCGCCCACTCTCATACAATCCCCTACTTTTCGGTTAGGGCAGATCATACAGTTTTTGGTGCTGCACAGTCGATCATAAAGTCTATTGCGGATCAGCTGATGGCGTAGGGTAGGAGGTGGGATTTAGATAACTACCACGGAATTTTCAAGACCGCATCTTTTTAGGCACCTTTTAACCGCGCAACTAATTTCGTTTGATATAAATGGCAATCTGAAGGGAATTCTATTCAGGTACTGAGTATTGTTCTTTCGGGACCTATTTCAACTTTTTGAATATTCCTTAGTAGCAGATGTTTTGTAACCGTTGGAAATGGCAATTTTTCGTGCCAAGTCTAATGATTCGTTCCTTTCTTCTTCTCCTGTGCACACAATTTTAGCCGTTCGAAACATGTTTTTAATTAGCGATTTTTTCATGTGTGAAGGAGGAGAGGAAAGGTGATTGACCAAATTGTTTTTGTTACTTGGTTTTCGGTACCATTTTGTACTATAGCCACTATCCAAAAGCTTTACTTGGATGTTTAAGAATGGAAGCCAGCTTCCGTTTGGACATTCTCGCGTCGATTTTATATGCTCTGACTGTCCGTTCAAGACTTCAAAACATTTGTCCATTTCCTTTTGTGTGGAAGAGACAATGAAGCAATCGTCTATATACCGGCAATAGAGCAATGGGCGGTGCAGGAGAACTGGAGCTTCCATCTTATACATAAAAGCGATGGCAAGACTAGGTGCTAAAGTTGACCCATGGCTAACCCCCTGAGTTGTGTAAAGTATTTTTCCGACCACCGAAAAATTGAACAGATAAGACAACGTTTTAGGAGGGTCATTAGCTGTTGGATTGTGAAGCCATACATATTTACTTTTTGTTCATTTTCAGTTAAGAGTTCAAAATGGCTTACATTTCAGAGTCATTTGATACGTTTGTATAGAGTGAGGTAACATAAATGACTCCATTACGTGCGAGTTGTTTGGTTCCGCGCAACGTAGGTGATCTAGGAACATTTGGGTGTTAGGTAGATGGCTTGGTATAAATTTGAGCACCTGAGTAAAAATAAGGTTTAGAAACCACGTTATTCTATCCGCAGGTCCGCCTATACAACTGATGATAGGTCTAACCTTGTACGTTGATGGATCGGTTGACACTAGATCATCAATAGATGTAAGTTTATGAGTTTTTATGAGAAGATATAGGACCGGACAAATAGGATTATTGTTCTTAAGTCGAGTAACTGAAGTTTCCAAACCCGCTGCACTTGCCGTGTTGACCCATTGTTTGTTTAGATTTTTACATTGGAGTTTATATTCCTTCTCAGAGGATGGGCGATAGAGGGAGACATCCTGAAGATGTTTCTCCGTTATTCCGACATCCAGCTGATTTGGAGTTACTACAAATTCCCCACCTTTATCACTTACGGATAAACGGATAGTTTTTGATCTTACGAGCTCCCTGATTTGGACCAAACCTTGTTTTTGTTTGTGTGTCAGACTGGAGCTTATTTTTCTATGCCGAAAGTCAGACCAGTCGGAACGGACAGTCAGAGCATATAGAATTCACGCGAGAAAGTCCAAACGGGAGCTGGCATCCATTCTTAAACATCCAAGTAAAGCTTTTGGATAGTGGCTATAGTACAAAATGGTATCGAAAGCCAAGTAACAAAAACATTTTGGTCAATCACCTTTCCTCTCCTCCTTCACACATGAAAAAATCGCTAATTATAAACATCTTTCGAACGGCTAAAAGTGTATGCACAGGAGAAGAAGAAAGGAACGAATCATTAGACTTGGCACGAAAAATTGCCATTTCCAACGGTTACAAAACATCTGCTACTTAGGAATATTCAAAAAGTGGAATTAGGTCATAAAAGAACAAGACTCCGCACCTGAATAGAGTCCCCTTCAAATTGTCATTTATATCAAACGAAATTAGTAGCGCGGTTAAAAGGTGCCTAAGAAGATGCGGTCTTGAAAATTCCGTGGTAGTTATTGAAGTCCCACCTCCCACCCTACGCCATCAGCTGATCCGCAATAGACTTTATGATCGATTGTGCAACACTAAAAAACTGTATGATCTGCCCTAACGGAAAAGAGGGGGATTGTATGAGATCGGGCACATCTTATTTACCAACATGTAAATCATGCGGGGAAAATCTATATGCGAAACGGGTAGACCATTTTTCATCCGCAGAAAAGGACATTTAGATAGTAAATATAAAATAGATAGAACGAAACCCTTAGGTTTACATAGGGCACAAAAACACAACAACAACGATTTTGATGTGACTGTCACAATCCTATCGCAGGAATCAAAAACGTCCACGCGCAAGACTCTTGAAGCATTTTGGATAAACGCCTGAAATCCCGAAATGAATCGGAAGGACGAGTGCGTCACCATCACACGAGATCTCGCGCCCTTTTTTCGTTTGGTCTTCTAACTTGACCTAGGCAGCACAAATAGACTAATACTACATACGCCCAAACTCTGAAGAAGGCGAGTCGCCGAAATGTCAGGCGAACTTCTACGACTATTTTAGCAACCTCGCGTCAGCTAATCAAGATAAGTTTTCTCGATTTTCATATAACAATCAATTATGCCGAGGTTTATAGAGAATCGAACTTTTTAACTCTCTAGACATTTTGGACACTTTATTGACCCTCCTTTGCAGTGTTTTTCCCACTATGCGGATCCCAGTACTTCTGGCATTCAATTCGTTGTTTCGTCTTCTTCTTGAACATAGTAGTATACGCCTGGTCGTGGTGTTCTATAGGGCGTTGTTGATGGCTGCCGGAGAGGGGGTTGAGGCTGGCTCCATTCGCCGCAACGAACATCACAGCCACTCGGCTTTGACAATCCATTTTATATACAATTCTATAAATAAGCTTTGGAATTTACTATTTCGTGGTGTCATCTATATATACATGTGTGCATATGCGTATACATGCACATGTATATCTGTAAGTTTATGGATGTTACCCGCGCATATAGATATATACACATATGTGCCTATCTATATCTATGTATCTATATATGGGCCTGTCGGGCCAGCTGATTTGAGGCACACTGCGACCCCTAGCCTTCTTTCCCTTCGGGGTCGAGGAATTAGTAACGGTGATGTGATACATTATTGAGCCACTGCCAGCTGTTGTAAAGACCAGATATGCATTCAATCACCCCAAACGATGCTTGATGAGATTACATACATGGCTCAGCTCTTAGGTATTGATCGACGTCTAGTGCTTTGTTTTATATATATATATATATATACATATATATGTATATATATATATGTATATATACACATATACGAG